TTCGCGTTCATATACACCACTAATATCCAATAGAACTATTTTAAACAGGTCGCTGCACTAGCACGGAATTTCATTGTTTGTTCTGTGACAAAACTGAATTTTGGTCTTTTAAATTGAAATACCTAATTAAGGGGGGCGAAATTTTCCTCCACTCCGGGCGGCTGACACCCACGATACGCCAATGACCGACACTGTCAACCAAATACGAGGAAAACTACAACGGTACATATACGAGACCATTGTAGTTTTCTTCAAGAACCACAACGAAAGGAGGTTACCTCGGGAGGCGAGTAACAAACGTGAAGATGAGAAACACGGGGGAGACCAAGAATGAAGCAAACAGATATGGTTGATGCAGATCGAGGAAGGATGCATCGCAAATTGAATGAAACCCATTAAAAAGGCAACCGCACGTAGAGCGTTGAAGTATTGGCTACCCATTTCTTTTAAATTTGTTGGAGATCTGAGAAATCTCATCTGCGATACCTCCAATGTTTTCTGGCCTTTATTGGAGTTTGGGTCTTTCGCCCATAGAGAAGGTAGTTAAACGGGTTGAATTCCAATACCAGTCGACCCCCCTATAACACTGTTGATAATTCCATTTTATATGAATTCCATGTTGTACGAGTCACTTAGAGTTTACAAATACGTGAGCCGTTCACAGTCTGGTACACGTATTTGTAAAATCTAAGTGACTCCTACAACATGAAATCCATATAAAACGGAATTACCAACAGTATTATAGGGGGTCGACTGTAGTTTCTTTTTAAATTTCTTACACTGTAGTGTGTATAATTTTCAGCTTTATAAGGTAGAAGAATTAATAGTTGGCACTTTTTCTGTTCACAAGAGAACCTGTATCCCAGAATTCCCCCAGTGACGGATTGGGTCCCCAGATCGCTTCGGCCGTCGACATTTGGCACTATGTAAAACTATCCCTTTTAAAGGGTTACCATAAGGTAAAATTTTAAAGGGCCCAAAGAACAGTCCCATCGATTACTACTAAGGCATATAGTATTATGTCTAGCGTGGCCCTTCGAGTAATAAGTAGGCTTTTACCAATTGATCTAGAATTAGGTACGTGGTGTTGTGCTTGTATAAGAAAAGGCACAGTTATTAAGTATAATGATGTGGTGTTCGGTGGTGATAATAGCACTGCCGAGATATATACAAGGTTATATTAATTTTAAGTATTACAGTAATACCCCGAACTTACGCGATAGGTGGGACCGAGCGATAACCGCGTAAGTCGAATTCGCGTAAGTCGGGGTATAATTTTGCATATAAATACATACAAATAACACAAAATAAATTGTAGCTATATGTCGAACACGTCCGAACATGTAAGCCGAACAATAGTGTGGGGGGAAATGAGTAATTAAGAGTTGCGTGGCGCTCAAACAAAAGACGAATCGACGAGATTTGAAAATCGCGTAACTCCGGATTCGCGTAAGTCGGGGTAGCGTAAGTCGGGGTATTACTGTATTA